AAATGTGAAAGTTCTCAACTTAATAAGGCACTTTATCATCTCACATCATCACAATAAGAAAGGTGAGTACATACATACAGTAAGATATTTTGAGACAACATTCACAGAACTTTTATTATAATATATTACAGTACATTGTTATATTAACTAATTAGTGGTTTTTGTTATCTCACTGTACCTAACTTGTAAATTAAGCTATCATAGGAATGTATGTATGTATGTATAGGAAAAAACAGTGTATAATGGGCCTGTACTATCCATCGTTTCAGGCACCCACTGGTGGGTCTTGGAACATATTGCCCAGGCATAACGGGGGATAACAGTATTCAACATGATTACCTCTTGGTTTGTGGGATATGACTTTATTTATTTTCTCTTCGTTTATCTGTATTTTTAAAATTCTCCTACAATGAAAATATCCCAGCCACTGTGCTCAATGGTTGAGTTTGACCCATGCAATGAGAGGTCACTGGTTTGATTCCTGGTAAGATATTTTGCCCCCAGCAGGGAGCATGCAGGATGTAACCTACTATAGATGTTGTTTCTCCCTCATTAATGTTCAATCTCTCTCTTCCTCTCCCTCTATAAATAAAATCTTAAATACATACACACACACAGACACAGACACACACACACACACACACACACACACACACACACACACACACACACATTAGGGGCCCAGGGCACAAATTCATGAACCTTGAAATGAACTGTGGGCCTCCACAGGGGCAGGTCTCAGCCCATCCTCCCTGCCCCTACCTAACCCCTCCCTCTGCGGCCCATTCCCCAGTCCTGTTTGCTGGCAACTGCGGCTCTCTCCGGCTGATGGCGCTGGGCCCACTTGCACCACTGCTGGCATGGAGCAAATGGGGCCGATGCAGGAAGCAGGTATGAGCGCCCAGCAGGATCCTGGCATTCAGTAACCACCAGAGGCTCACCCCGATGACAGCGACCAGTGCCCCACCTTGGTCTAGCGGCCCTGCTCACCTGCTCCACCATCCTGCCATCTGCCCTGTTTTGTGTGTGCCCGCCTGGTGGTCAGCACACATCATAGTGACCAGTTGTTTGGTTATTCGGTTGTACCACCGTTTGGTCTATTTTCATATTAGGGTTTTATATATGTAGATTCCCTCATCCCATTCCATTGCCATAGCCTTTATTCAGGCCCTTTTTTTTAAAATGAGGATTTCTGTAATTGCCTCCCAATTACTTTCTTGCCTCCATGTTCACTCTGCCTCAATTTACCTACCATATTTTATTCTACAGGGACTTTTCTATATGAGGTCCTTCTTGACAGGTTCATAGTTCCTGCCACTCCCAGTGGGAGAATCAGATGACTGTTGGTGCCCTAAACATATTCTTGCCCTCACATCCGGGCTCAGACTGTTTGCCCTATGTGGGATGCCTTTCTTCTCCTTCTCATCTTTATCTTTCACAGCCCAGCTCAAATATACCTTCTACAAGCCTTCATTTATCTACCCCCAAGGAGCTAATTACTGATTGCCTAGAATCCCAGAGCTCTTTTTACAACCTTTATTGTTTGCATATCCCACAGTGTTGTAATTATTTGAACATAGGTCCTCTTCCACCATTCTGTGAATTCTTTGGGGAGGTATGGCATAATAGTCATTAATTTGCTGCACAAATATATTTAATAAAAGTTCATTTATACCACTTCACATAAAATTTAGAAAATTTCTAACAGTATAGGTCTATTTACTGTCCCCTTATCTGTTATCTTCTAATTATCACATGTAGTACATGTACAACATTATTATGAGTTGCATGAGACAATGTTATAATTTTTGCCTTACACAGTTAATATGTATTTTATTTTTTAATATATTTTATTGATTTTTTTACAGAGAGGAAGAGAGAGTGATAGAGAGTTAGAAACATCGATGAGAGAGAATCATGCTGCCTCTTGCACACCTCCTACTGGGGATGTGTCCGCAACCAAGGTACATGCCCTTGACCGGAATTGAACCTGAAACCCTTCAATCCGCAGGCTGACACTTTATCCATTGAGCCAAACAGACTTCGGCAGTTAATATGTACTTTAAAGAAAATTTAATTACCCACATATTTGTCATTTCTGATTCTCCCCATTCCTTCCTAAAGATGAGTCTCCATCAAATTTCATTTTCCTTTATCCTGGAGAACTGCCTTTACCATTTCTTTCAAAAAAATATTTTTATTGGTTTCAGAGAGAAAGGGACAGAGAGAGAGAAACATATATGATGACACAAAACTCTGGGGAGGGAGGGGAAGTGTGGGAGGGAGGGAGGGGTCCAAAAAAATCAATAAAATATATTAAAAAAATAAATAAAAATAAAAAATAAAATAAAATAAAAAGAAACATATATGATGACAAAGAATCATTGATTGGGGATAGAGCCCACAACCTGGGTTGTGGGAATTGAACTGGGACCATCCAGTCCACAGGCTGACACTATATCCACTGAGCCAAACCAGCTAGGCTTTACCATTTCTTGTAGTGCAGATCTGCAGATGTGAAACTGCCTTGGTTTTCTTTTATTTGAAATTATTTATATTTTGCTTTCATTCTTGAAAGATATTTCCACTAGATATAGAAATCTGGTTTGACAGTTTTTTCTTTCAGTACTTTAAAGATTTTATCCTTTTCATTTCTATCTCTGTTAAGCCTATCCAAGGAATACTTTATTTCAGATGTTTTTAAATTCTATAAATGTCCATTTCACTTTTTTTGTTTTTTTAATTCTCTACAGAGATTTCCTATCCATTTATTATAAGCATATTTTTTTTTCCATCCATGAGCGTAATTATAATAGCCAAATCTGCAATATTAAACCTCTGAGTCATCTAGAGGTTGATCTCCATGACTGTCTTTTCTAATGTGAATGGGTCATATTTTTCTTTCTTCATATGTCAAGTAAGTTTGGGATATATCCTGAATATCATGAATAACAGGTGGTAGAAACTGGGGGTTCTGTTACATTCCTTCAAAGAGTATTAATTCAAAGAGTTCACTTCAAAGAGTGAACTTGTCTGGACTCAAACTGCAAAACTCCATTTTCTATACATTGAACAGCTGCTCAAATTTCGGCTCATTTGTGTAGACTTACCTGGACTGTTTAGACTCTGCTACATGCACGTGTGATTCATCGATCTGCCAGAGCTTATACCCAAAATTATCTCAAAATTGAGGTGCCCTAGGGCCCTGTCCTTGGTCCTTTTCTACATCTTTGTTGACTTAATCCTGCCTCAAGGCTTAAATTGGGCTCCTCCTCTCTTTTTTTCTGAATTTATTCCCTTACTTTCTAGCACTTGTGGGTATCCCAAAACTTACTCTCTGGCTATTGGAGTTAATAGGACTGTTGGCTCTCTGTCTGTATTTTAATCATTGTAAATGGTACAAATCAGGACCTACCCTCATAATAAGCACTATAATAAACAAATTCTCCTTACATCACTCTCATCTTCCAAATGCCAACTTGCTTCCACTACCTGCCAGCTTTTGTTCACTCTCCAGGAGTCTCAGGTAATTTTTTTTACATGTTACCCAGAGTTTAGAGTTACCTATAAAAGAGGTTGTTCAACAAGTTTACCAGTTACATTGGACATGAACCCAACAATTTTTAGCTCTCTGCCTTCAGGGCACATGGAAGGATTGTGCCTTCTGTTCCCCTTATGGATGGGATGGTGACATATGAGATGTAAGTAGAAATTATGACTTAAATATTCCAAATGGTAGCTATTCCATCAACCTGGGTCCTAAAGTCATAAAGACCCAGGTAATCCTTGTTTATGTATTGTTTTAAATATATCTGTGTATATCAATATATCTATATGTACATTTGATTCAGAGAGAAAGGGAGAGGGAAAGATAGAAACATCAATGATGAGAGAGAATCATTGATCCGCTGCCTCCTGCACACCCCACACTGGGGATCGAGCCCAAAACCCGGGTATGTGCCCTGACCTGGAACTCAACTGTGACTTCCTGGTTCATAGGTCAACGCTCAACCACTGAGCCAGATTGGTCGGGCAGTGGTTCAATTTTAATATGTTAAATTTGAGATGTTTCTTACGATACTCAAGTGGAGATGATGAACAGATGGGCGAATAGTCAAATGTGGAGTTCAAGAGAGGGGCCTGGACTGAAGGTAAAAACTTGGGAGACTTTGGCATATAGAAGTTATTAAAACCTTGAGACAGGATTAAGTCACCAAAGATGTAGAAAAGGGTCAAGGACAGGGCCGTGGGGCACCTAGATTCTTGGAGAGCCACAAGAAGAACCAGTGAAGAAGGAATTAAATTCTCTTCCTTGAAACAATTTATTCTCTTGGCTTCTCTGATACCAGATGCTCCGATTTTCCTCTTACTTTAGTGCCCACTCCTTCTTATTCTTCCTTGCTTCAAGGAGAATGGAATAAGTATCTAATAGATTTGGCAGGATGGAGGTCATTTGTGGCCTTGACAAGAGTGGTTTTGGTAGAGCAATTGGATGAAAGTGTGACGGTGTAAGATCGAGAGAGAATGGGAAGTGTGGACAGACATGCACTGAATGCAAGCAAGTTTGTGATGTATGCAGTAAAAAAAAACACAAACCAAACCAAAACAAAAAACAACAACAACAACAACAACAAACAGGTGGAGTAATATTGGACGGGAATAAAGGGTTAAAGGGGATATACAGGAAGGAGTACACCATATTTTTCTGCTAATGTGAATTATTTATGAAATTGGTATAATTGATGAGGAGATAGGGGATAACTTTAGGAGCAATCATTAAATAGTCAAAAGAGTCCCAAACTTCTGCCCCCTTCGCCAAAGACGACTTCTAATCCTAAGTGAATTTCTCTCTATTCTCCTGGGCTAATAACTGGCACCCACCTTGCAGATATCACCTGGGCCCCTACTTTTTCCCAGGTCCTCTGTTTCTGAACATTATGCCCAGCATTCTCTATGGGTCCAGAGTGACTTGCTTTTTATTTATTTATTTATTTAATTTTAAATGTCTGAAGTAAGAAAACAAGGCTGCCCAGCTCATGGCAGCCCTGACAATACTTGGCCTCTAGCCCTGGCTGAGGAGAAAAGAAACCCCCCCACAGCCCCATGGAAAGTGACTTGCTTTTTAAAGGAACAGAAACAATGTGCTATAGTTTTGTGTGGTCTGCTGCGTATAAAAGGCTGTGATGGTTTAGATAGATTGATTTCACAGAGGAAGGGAGACAGAGATAGAAACATCAATGATGAGAGAGAATCATTGATCGGCTGCCTCCTGCACTCTCCCTACTGGGGATTGAGCCTGCAACCTGGGCATGTGCCCTTGACCAACATTGAACTCGGGACCCTTCAGTCTGCAGGTTGACACTCTACTGAGCCAAACCAGCTAGGGCAGTTCCTTTTAAACTGTAACTCGTAAGACTGAAATACATTGCTTTAATAAATTAAAAGTCAAGAAGAGAAGGAACCATAGTGCCAAGGAAGGGACAGAGGCGCTACATCCATACACAGGAGGGAAAGCAGAGTCCTGGCAGAGAGGCAGGTAGGATAGAAGCTACGACGGTGGAAAGATGAGGCAGTTCTTGTCAAATTGCTCTTATTTTCTCAGTGAAATAAGAAGCAAGGTTTTCAGAGTGAGGAAGAGAAGGGGTGTTGGATGTTTGAAGATAGAAGGTGCAATATAGTCATTTCAGAGTGTGGAAAGTGAATCGACTAGGGAAATGCTAGCAGGGCAGTGTGGAGAGCCCACTTGAGATTTATGATCATAAATTTAGTGACAACTGTTAGCACTGTAGCCATGTTGAGCTGGACAGAATCAGGGTCTGAATCAGGAAGTAGAATCTTCTGGGAAAGGGGGGGAGCGCACAAGAGCCTACAGAGGTAACAACAAGCTATAGTCCCAAGGCAGGTACTTCAGAGCAGCAGGGGAGAGAAGGGAGGGGAGAAATAGCCTTACTGGGGTAATAATTCATCTGCCCTGGATGGACCTGCTCTGTTCTGAATCCACTCTCTCCTACTCAGTAAGCTTCCTTCCCTCCTTTGGCAGCTGGGAGGCCATCGGGGTGAGGGACTCTTTTAGGGCCCTGGGTCAAAAGGAAACCAGGGAACAGTCGGACTTACATACACACACACACACACACACACACACACACACAGGCCATCCAGGGTGAGGAATTCCTCAGGGCCCTGGGTCAGAAGGAAACCAGGGAACAGTCGGACTTACATACACACACACACACAGGCCATCCAGGGTGAGGGATTCCTCAGGGCCCTGGGTCAGAAGGAAACCAGGGAATAGTCGGACACACACACACACACACACACCCTTTCCTGCTACCAAAAGACCAAGGCAGTGTTTTGGATATTTGAAAGTACACTTAAAATGCCCTTGTTTGTTGCTGCTGAAGGACAGGGAGCCAGCCGGTAACCATGGGAGTGGGGCAGAGAGAGGTGGTGAAGAGGTGGATTTTAAATGGGGTGAGCTTCCTACAGGCGGCACCCAGAGCTCAACCCCCGAGGCCTCCTCAGAGTTCTTTGTTCATTCAGCTTACTGAGGGAGGGAGACTGAATTCTTCCCTGCTGGGAAACAAGCTTTGAAAGGGAAAGCCTTTGCCAAGCTCCATAAGGAGAGGGTGTGTCTGTCCCCGGGAGCAGGTTTCCCAGCTCGGCCTGAAAGCCTGGGTCGGCGGGGCGCTCCGGGCACCCTGTTATGAACAGGGACAGCCTGTGACAGCACGTCAGCCAGCTCTGCGGCATCCCGAGTCCCTGGTCCTCACCCACTTACCCATTCTCTCACTACCCCTCCCTGGACAGGTGGCCACTCATGGGGGTGGCCCAGAGCCCCGGCCAAGTCAGCCAGGCAAGGCCCCTCCAGGACAGTGATCTGGTGCCAAGGTGGGCCAGAGGGGAGGGACGCAGTCTCCTCTCCCACGTTTCTGGTCGGGGAGCCCTAAGAGCCTTTCTTTCCAGGACAAAGTAACCCCAAGGGGAGGCATGGCAGGCCGAGGCGCGGGGGCAAGGCAGGGCAAAGCCCGGCCACAGCTCGGGTCCTGGGAAGTCTCATGACTGCAGTGTTTTGCGGCAGGTTTCCCAGCTGCTCCTAGAGGGAGGCAGGGTGGTGGGGGCGAGCAGGAGGGAGGGGAGAGAGGAGGGAAGTAAACAGGAGACCAAAGGCAGAGCCAGTTCCCTGCGTTTCAGAGAACACCAGCCGCCTCCGGTCCCCGGTGGGTGGCTGCATGTGTGGAAATGAAACTGCGAGGGGAAGGGGGAGTGGGAAGAGCAGGCACGCACGTGGAGGCTGCTATCCACCCACTTCTCCTTTCCCCGACCCTCAGGGGTGGGGATGGGGTGGGGGGAGTGGGAGGAAGACGGTTCCCACCTCTAAGGACAGGGAGCCGGTTCAGCTGTCGGTGAATCAGACACTGTCTCAGCAGCTTGTCACCTGAGCTCCAGAGGGGAACAGGGGGCGGTCTTGGCCTTGGGGCTTAGGGGGAAGGGGTAAATGTAAGATTCAGTGCTGCCCAGACTGGTTTGGCTCAGTGTATAGAGCAGCGGCCTGTGGACTGAAAGGTCCTGGGTTCGATTCCGGTCAAGGGCATGTACCTTGGTTGCAGGCACATCCCCAGTGGAGGCCATGCAAGAGGCAGCTGATGGATGATTCTCTCTCATCTATGTTTCTAGCTCTCTATCTCTCTCTTTTCCTCTCTGTAAAAAACCAATAATATATATAGATCCAGTAAGATCCAGTGCTGGCAGTGTGGATCTTGGGTTGTGGGGTGACAGCTGGGGCTGGAAAGAAGGGATTGTCTGTCTTCGAATACCTACACACACCTCCACCCAGTCCCCAGGATACCTGGTGTGTGTTGGGTGGGGGTGGGGGTGGGGGTGAGGACAGGGGTGGGGGTGAGAGCATTAGGGCATGACTTCAGGAGGAAGTGGTAGCAAGGGAGGGGTAAGTGGGTGGGAGTGCACTGCGGCGGGAGAACAATGGGGTGCAGGGCCGGCGGGGACCGCGGGGCAGGCACTGCCCGCCGCCTCTCGGCCCGGCTCGGGGTTACGCGAGGTAACGGTGAGCGGGGAGGAGGGGGAGGCGGCGGGGGCCGCGGGCCGCGGTGTCTGGCGCTCGTTGGACAAAGAGATGATGAAACGTGAGCGCTATATTTACCAAGGGGGTGGGGAGCAGCGAGGGGGGGGGCGGGTAAAAAAGGACAAACTGTTCCACAACAACCACAGGAAACAGCCCATCTGACTCACGGGGAGGGCCGCGCGGGCCGACCCCCTCGCAGTCCCAGCCTGGCGGCCAGACGCGGGGCCGGAGGGTGCGGATGCTCCCGGGACGGCCGTCACCTGGGCACTGGGGCTGAGGGACGGATCGATTTATAGAAATAAAAGCACCTTAGCTGCAAGGGTTGCGAGTGTGTGTGTGTTTGCCTTCTGTGAGGGTGGAGGGGACAGCGCGGAATGGAAGGAATGTCCCCGAAGCCCGGGGCCCCGCCATCGCGGGGGAAATGTGCCCTCCGCGAGCTCGATTCCTGCAAAGTCATCTCCCCGCACCGCCCGGCCGCCCGCCCCGCCCGCGGGCAGCGGCTCCCGCCTCCCCCTCCACCGCCGCCCCAACCTGCTCCCGGCGCCCAGAGTTGGGGGTGCGGGCTATGTTTAGAAGCTGATGTCATCCAGACACCCTACTCTGCAGTGCTCCGGGGGGAGGAGAGATGAGGGGGGGACCCGCAGGGAAGGTCTTCCTCTTCTCGTGGGCGTGGTGGCCCCCGGAAGATGCCTCCCTCCCCGCCCCCACTCCTCCACACACAAACCTCCTCCACACCTCTCTTACCCCAGAGAGTTAAAAAAAAAAAAAAAAATGCAGCCCGCTAGTTATGAAACAGGGTGGCGGGGGCGGTACTCACGCGGAGGATGCAAACCCCGGGGCCTGGATAGGGAGGGCCAGACCAGCTGCCACGCCCCCCCCACCCCCCCATACCCCTCCGCCCCCCACCCCCCTCCGCCTCGCGAGCGCCCGGGCGCCGCGCGGGGACCAACTTCAAGGTTAGCTCACGTGGGCGCGGGCGCCCGGAGCTCCTCGCACGAGTTTGGGGCGGGTTCCTCGTTCCCCCAATCTAGGGCAGTTTGTTCAAACTGCAGGAAAGGGAGCTGGATGTTCCGGGAGGGAAGGGATTTCTGAGAACTGGGCTGTCCTCAGATGAACTCGCCTCCCCGGGCTGCTGCTGCGGTGGCGGCGGCGGCGGCGGGAGACTCGTTAAAAGGGCGATGGCAGGCCGGGCGCGCGTCTCGCCAGTGGCTGAGCGGCCCGCCCGTCTCGGGGGGAGCCTTGCGCCCGCCCCCCTCCTGCCACCTCTCCCCCCACCTCCACCCCCAGCGTGGGTGATTCACCCCGCTCGGCGTGGGGCTTCTCCCAGCGCGGGGGGCTGCGAGCTAAACTTATCCTCCTGCATATGCATGAACCGGTGGCCTTCCTGCTTGGCAGAGGAGAGAGGCCTGCAGCTAGCTGAGGCTGCTAAGTGGGCCGGGAGCGAAGTAGGGCGTCCTGCAAGCTTTCGCACTGGCCGCAGCCCCCCGCCCTCTCCAGCGGCCGGGGAAGCGTTTCCCCAGATAGGGCTTTATACCTGGTTGGGTTTCTAATCCAGGCACTCGGCCATGGTTCCAAACCCAATCCCTGGCTTAAGTCCGCCTCCGCCTCCCCAAACTCACCTTTTTCTAATTCCCCGGTTTACACTCAAATGAACACTTGCTTTCCCCCCACCAAATTGGCTCTGTGAGCCCAGGCGAGGTTGCTGTGTACACGAAGGGCCTGGGTCCAGAAAGAAGGCTGGATCCAACCCAGAGGCAGGTCTGACACGTGATCCTCTACCCCCAGCGAGCCATCTGTTCCCTTTCCTTCCCGCACGGAGGCTGGCTGCTCCGCCCGGCACCGCCGTCCACGCCTCCCGGTAGGAAAGAATGAGAAAAGCCAAGAGTTGGCGGAACTCAGTGCCTCCGGGAGTGCGATTTTAACCTACACCTCCCTGGGCTTTGGATAAGGGATGAGACCTGGCAATGAGTATTTTAAATGAAACTCGGGGGATTCGTTCTACCCTGGCTAGTTGGGGGAAACTGCGATGGACTCAGATGGATTAAAAGTCTCCAGGGGAAGGGCCTGGGAATGGATTGCATTCTGCCTGGAATAACCTACCTCACTTGGGCTTGGGTGGAAAGCTTTATCTAGGAAAAACGAGGGGATTCTCTAGGCCCTGTAGGCCCTTTAGGTCACTTCCCACAAACTAGCCTGGAGAAAGAAAGACCATGAAAAGAAAGGAGAAAGTTAAGGGGTTTGGAACAAATGTATATTTGTGCCTGCTATCCCATCAAATATTGATGTAAAGTATTCTGACCTGCACTACTGCCATAAAGAGCTGTTTGTATAGATGCACAGCAAATGAAGTGGTGTTGAAAGAAACCAAGTCTTGCCCAGTTTTTCCCATAGGGTAGTTTTTTGTTTTGTTTTTTTTTTTGGGGGGGGGGTGAAGGGGACCCCTGGAATATTTGGAGTTTGGAAGGAACTATGGAGATGCATTAATTTAATCCCATCCATGAGTTAACAAATAAGGAGATAGCTCTAAAGAGGCTGCCTAAAGTAACACAGCTCCTCTCAGGCCCAGGAGGCCCTTGTCCTTGAGAACTTGGCTAATAAAGCCACGGTTTAGGAAGAATTTAGAGAGAAAAATACACGTTTACAAACTACAAACACTGTTATAGTCTTTGAATTCTCCTACTCCTCCCAGTTGGTTTGTGTGGATTTGAAATGTTTATTTATAAAGATTAACTTGGGAGGAAAACAGACCTCATATTTATGTGGTGTAATATGTATTATATTGGTAAATTATTCATTGTAGTTAGGAATGATTCATATTAATTTGGGATAATTTATTCTGCCAGAATTTTAATTAGGACAACCACATGCTGGCAAAACAGCATAAATTGGTGTTAATAATAAAACGTATAATATGCATCCCCAAACAGTAAGAAAACCTGTTGGAGAAAATACAAGGGGGAAAAAAATCCCAATGTAGGAATTATTAGCTGTGATGTTAAGAGTGGGAGGGAGAGGTAACCTCACAATGCAGTCCATCCTCCTCACCTGAGAACTGCCTATCATCACGGAAAGATTAACAATGGAGTCCCAGAGGCGTCCTTTGCAACCCCCAGTCCCATCGCCTGTAATCTGTAACCATCACACCTATTCTTACTCCTTTTGCCCACTTCCCCATGTAATCCTTGTCCTTCTACCGAATATAAACAGCTTATGGGGAGTGCAGGGAGACCGAGCAGATGACCTGCTGCTCTCCCTTGTTGCCTGCAATATTAGAAAATAAAACGCTCATATACAATTCAACCCTGTCTCTGCCTAAGTGGCTCAAGTAGTGACAGGCAGCCCAGACCCATTTGTTGTCCGGTTTCATATATTCTCTATATGTTTTTAATTTATGACCCTAATGACGGGTTGCCTTTTTATTTCTGTACTTCCCCATGCCTAGCTCATTGACAGAAACATAAATATCTGGGGGGTGAATGAGAGGAAAAGGAGGAAAAGAAGAGAGTTGTCTATAATTTTCCAATTGTTGAGTTTAAAAAGATACTCTAAGTCCAGTCAAGAGGCGTTATGTTTGCAAATGAGTGTGAGAAATTCACGTGTATGGAATCTCAGTTTTCTTTTCATTACTTGTATCATTCTGAAATGAGTTGGAAGAGCACAAGGTTTATGTTCCATTTGAACAAGATTAAATGAAAATGAATCAAAGAGGACAAGGGAAGGGAAAGTTTATTTGCGATGATTAATTTATTCAAGTTCCTGGATTGCAATCCTCAAGGAAAGAGACAGATTTTCCTTCTTTTCTGGAATATGCCCAGTATTAACTCTAGGGCTGTCTGAAGATGCCCAGAGCAATGCCAGTTGCAGCGATAGTCAGACTGTGGAGAGATCCCTCTGGTATTTGTGCTGGACCTTAAAGAGGCACCAAAGGTGCAATTACTAAGTGATCATATACCCTTGGGAGCAGAATTTGTCCCAGAAAAAGATCATGAAGTAGGCAAACTCTCCTGGGCTTTAGTGAATTTTTTTCCCCTAAAATTAAGGGGATTGGAATCCCAGAAACCTGAGATGACTTCACTTTTACATGCTATGATGTATGTACCTGTCTTACTATGATGGTGATGATATTCTTGGTTGACTAGCACCATGTCTCTATACTTCCTTTTTCCCTGTATCTTCCTCTACGACTTCAAAAGCAAAATCAAAATAAACTGCACTAGCCTTCAGACTGGGACGATTCATTTGAGATCCTCCCTTCAGAGAGCAAGAACCTGGTGTTCCTTTCCCAAACAGCCAGTGGGAGTCATGGTTGGATCTCACTGGATCTGCATCACATAGAAGCACATAGAAGCAGGTACCTCTCACACCCACTTAGGAAAGTGGATGTATTTTTAATCAATTGTGCTGACAGTAAGTCTTCTGCAAGAGACATTAGCCCTAGATTCTTTTCTTAGCTATCAAGATGGAAAACAACCCCATCATTCATTAAGAGGGAGAGGCAAACTGAGTTAATCAGACTCTGAGACCCATACTAATTGTTGATCAAGTAATGCCACAATATTTTCAATAGCTAAGGATCTCTGGCTGGTTACAGTTAAGCATCTGTTTAACATAGTTAATATTTCACCAAACCAAAGAGTTCAGTTATTGTTAAGCTCAAAAGCCAGAAATCAGGAGATCTATGATGGAGTTCTGTCACTATCTACCTGATAAGGTAGACAAGCCACTTCCCTGTGTCCCCAGGCTCCACGTATGTAAGTTGAGGGAAGAAAACATGCCCTAACAGTCATGCAAGGGTCTGGGGAAAGAAAATGAACTAAGAATTGTGTCTTGTTGTTTTTTAAAGTTACATAAACGAGGGATATCGTCTCCATTTATTTGAAGGTGGGTTACAACTTCAACAACAACAACAAAAACTTATTTAGAATAAACTGCTTTGGGGAAGGAAAGGAATTTGGAGGTATCACAAAAGCAATGATGGGGTGTTTCAATGTCAGAATAGCCAAACAATATGAAGAGTGTGCTTTAAAACAGAACTTTGTTAGCTTGGCATTTTTAAGATTTATTAGTCATAGTTTATGTATTGGATGGAGGGACTACTACAAAATTCTTTCTAAAAGTATATTGCATACCAAAACTGAAAAAAAAAAAAAAAGAATTGCTACTTTCTCGTTTGTGTTGATAGACTCACACTGCACTTATTCATCACCCATTCCCTTCCAAACATTTCTCAATTTTGCCACGAACAGCACAAAAATTCAAAGGATGTGTCTAGTTTCCCTTACAGCCCTTCAGCCTTTACAAGCGTGGAGCGCTAGCTTTCGGAACGCCCTTCTGATTGGCTGAGCCCATGTCAGTGACATCAACCAACTTACTTTTCATTGGGAGGCCGGTTGCTGGGACTGTAGCGTTTGCAAGAAGTCACTTAACTGTTTGCGAGCTGGAAAAGCCGCACCAGAAGTTCTCTTTTTGCCAAAAGAAGGGGCGTAACCGACTAGGGGAATCTAGGGGAAACGGGAGGGTCCCACTGCTTCGCGCAAGCTGGGACGGAGCCAGGAGGCCTGGGGCCGGCTACCGGACCTCCAGGCACCCCCCCACCCCACCCCCAAGATGAGTGCCAGCTCCTTTTCAGCCCCCGGAGCTGTTACCCTTTTAAATGCCAGCCTTCGTGGCTGCAGGGGTAGCACGAGGCACCGAAACAGAATGGTCGGATTGGCCGCACGAACTCAGCTCTTAGACGTACCTACCCACCCACCCCCAACCCCCCCAGGCCCTGCTGACTGGCAGGGGGAGAAAGTAAACAGAGTTGAATCACCCTCCCCAACTGGCCAATTGCAGGGGGTTTGGATTGTGACGTGATGGGATTCTGCGAAACAGTTACTGAGCAAGAGAATGCCGACACGGTGCGGAGCGGCCAGAGCAGGGGCTCAGAGACCAGTCGGGGGACCTGGGGAGGGGGAACGTGTGTCTTAGACGTGGCGCTGGGTCCGACCCTCGCCACCCGCGTCGGAGTGATCGGGCGAACGAACGTCCTGGGTCTTGGACTCCAGGGAGAGGCGGAGGAGGAGGGCGTGTACCTCTCCCTTGCAGTTTCCTCTCCCGGCGCCTCGGGGGCGTATTCGCTCGGACAAACTTGCGGCCGCCACGTGTGGCACTTCTCCAAACGAGCCGGCGGCTCGGCGGCGCGGTGGGCGCGCCCGTCGGGGGGGATCGCGCGCGGGCGCAGGAGCAGCCCCAGCGCGGCGGGCGGGCAGCCGGAGGCGGCAGCGGCGGCGGCGGCGCGGCGGAGCTCGCTCGCTCGGGGCCGCGGCGGCTGCGTGCGGAGGCGCTGCCGGTTACGTAAAGATGAGGGGCTGAGGTCGCCCAGGCGCTCCTGCGAGTCGGAAGCGCCCTGCGCCCCCGCCCCCTTGGCCGCCGCGCCGCGATCGTCGTCGTCCGAGGCCGGGCCAGGGCAGGGCGAGCCGAACCTCCTCAGCCACCGCCAAGTTTGACCGCGCCGCCGCCGGGGCCGATCGCTGTCGCCCGCACCATGTCCTCGGCCGCCTACATGGACTTCGTGGCCGCCCAGTGTCTGGTTTCCATCTCGAACCGCGCTGCGGTGCCGGCGGAGCACGGGGGCGCTCCCGCCGCCGCCGCCGCCGCCGCCGCCGAGCGCCTGCGCCTCCCCGAGCGCGAGGTGGTGGCCAAGGAGCACGGCGACCCGGGGGACACCTGGAAGGACTACTGCACCCTGGTCACCATCGCCAAGAGCTTGTTGGACCTGAACAAGTACCGGCCCATCCAGACCCCCTCGGTGTGCAGCGACAGCCTGGAGAGTCCCGATGATGAGGACATGGGATCCGACAGCGACGTGACCACCGAATCTGGGTCGAGTCCTTCCCACAGCCCCGAGGAGGAGAGACAGGATCCTGGCGGCGCGCCCAGCCCGCTCTCCCTCCTCCACGCCGGAGTGGCCGCGAAGGGGAAACACGCCTCCGAAAAGAGGCACAAGTGCCCCTACAGCGGCTGTGGGAAAGTCTATGGGAAATCCTCCCACCTCAAAGCCCATTACAGAGTGCATACAGGTTAGCGAGCGGCGTCCCCCCTCTCCCCTCTCTCTCCCGCCCACCTCCGGGGTGGCTTCCCCTTTGGCCTGGTGGCGTTCCCCGGGGGGGTGAGGGTGGGGGGGCGATCTGGACACCACACTGAGCCTAAAAGGGTGCAAACGTGTTGGAGGAGATGCTGTTGGGCTGTTTTAAATAGTTGAGCAGTCTCCCTAATCGTGCCTAGCCTCGGGGAGCCTTCCCGGGGCGGACCCAGTGCGTGCGGGGTGCTCGCCCCGGCGCCCGGCTTCGCGGGAAGTGGTGCTGCCCCGCCCCCGGGGCTCCCGCACCCTGCGTTGATGGTGGGGGCCACCCTCCTTGAGCAGAGGCTGGCAGGGGTGGGGGTGAGGGTGGAGGTGGAGGTGGAGGTGGAGGTGGGGGCGAGCCAAACGGCGTTACCTTCTATTTGATTCTCTGGTGGTGGTGGTGGGATTGCAGGGAAGTGGCCCAAACCCTGGGACCGAAGCGGCACTCGTTAACGTGGATGGAACCTTTTAGGGGATGACTAAGGGCTCACTGAGCTGTGTGTGTGTGTGCCCGCTACTTTTCAGGGATGGCCAAGGTGGTTTTAGATTTGGCCCTAGAGTCCCCGGAGAGGTTTAAAATGACACTGCTGCTTCGGGGCGGCAGAGGAGTTTGATCGAGTCATGGGTTGGTGGGTTAACTTCGTGACTGGTGAGCTGCTTGAAGGAGGGAGGTTTCAGAGCTGACTTCCTCCCTCTGCCCTCCCCACCCCCTTTTTTCCACAGGACTTAGATTCCCCCTCCACCCCGAACACAGCAGTCAGGGAGGAGGAGGAGGAGGAGGTGTGGTCCTTGCTGGAGGTCATGGCTGGGCAATGGCTGTTGAGACGTTCTGGAGGCCCCAAGGAACGGTCTCTTGGAGGGAGAGCCAAGGGCAGGGCCAGGCGGACGAATGCGGCTACAAAAACATCTTTGCGGGGTGAAAGGAGCTTTGGAGGCGGGGTCAGCCGGTGCTGTCGGGTCTGTGGATCGTGCTGAGGAAGTTGGGGAGCGCTGACACCGGGGCATGCCGCCTCACCCTCTGTAGTGAGGTGGCTTCGCAGCTGCTCTCCTGAGAAGGAAGCCCAGGGCTCGGTCTTCCCAGCGAGCGCCTTTCCCGCCTGTCCTAGGACACCCCTTTTAGGAGGTGGTCATGTTGGTGTTATTTTGGGTCACTTTTGTGTTAAGGCCCCCCCAAAACCTGTGGTTTTTAAAATAATAATTGGTTGACTTTGTTTTTGTTTTGGTTTTGAAAGGAAAGGCTGCTTGTGTGCATCTGTTTCCTTTGGAAAATGGTTCTTGTGGAGGTGGCTGCTGGCACAGGAGTCAAACGGTTCCCTTCGTGGTTAACGCAAAAATCGGGTTCTGTTGGGGGCTGCCATCTAGGCTGCCATAAAACAGCACATTTTAAAGTTCGTGTGTGTGTGTGTGTGTGTGTGTGTGTGTGTATGTGTATGTGTGTGCGCGCGTGTGCGTGTGGCTGTTGACAGACACGTGCTTGGGTTGGGGGATGTGACCTTTCCTGGGCTTGCCAGGGGTGAACGTGGGGTGTATGCACGGAGGGTGTTGCCAACAGCTGTGAGGCGGGCCCGGCTGTGTCAGCCATGTTCCCGGAGTGGGTTGTTCACATGCACACCCACTGCCACCTTGAGCAAAGGCACGTTCTCCTTCAGGGAGCGGCCCGCCGTGCAGCCGGGAGGCCTGCAGGGCTTCTGGGGGAGCTGACCTGAGTCTACCTGACACGGGAGAAAAAAAGACCCCCCAACATTCCGGACCACTGGGCTGGGTGACTTTTCCCAGGCGTTTCTAGAAATGGCTGCTTATGGGTGCGTGCATGCGTGGTGCTCTTTACTTCTCCATACGGCAAGTCAGCTCAGCTGTTTCAGGAGAACCTTTCACACAGTCGGGAGTGGGAAACGAAGTGAAATGTTAGTCCTGTTTTAAATACTACAGTCAGGCTTTTGAAGCTAGCGATATGGCGATGGCAGGTGTCTTGTTTAAGCTCTGGGGCTCTGTAATACCAGGACGTGGTAGAATACAACCTCGGCGTCTAAATATTGTCAGAGGGTACCCATGCTTGGAGAAAGGAAAAGGCTACTTTTAAATAAGAGACCTGTAGGGTTTCCTGCATTCCCAAGTTTCAGGTGTGGCTTGCTGTTTGGTTATCATTGGGGTGGGGTACAGAGCTCACTGATGTTCCTCCTACTGGTACCACTGGCGGATCCGGAAGGTGGATGGGAGATACGGTTGGAATGCCTGCATTCTGTGAAGATTGTAAGAGCTAAAATTCCAGCCACACCCCCTGCTCCCTGTGGCCCGGCCACAGTCCTTTAGGCTGCTAGCTCACTTCCTATAGAGCCGCCTCCTGCTTGCTGCCAATTTCATAGAACCAGGGGCCTAGAAGTTGAGCCATTTAGATAAAATTGCATTTAATTCAGTACAGCTATAGGATCCTAGGAGAAAAGATGCTTCCGAGGCAGGCTGAGCTGCGCTCTGATCTGTCCTGTGGCTTCCCAGTTGTGAGACCTTAAGCAAGTTACCGGATTTCGGAGTTTGCAAGGCCTGCAGCTGAATTTGCTTTGCCTATCTGTTTGCCTTGGCCAGCACCTGGTTTAAGAAACTTAATTAGTTACCAGTATCTAAAAATCAGAGGATCTCAGCACAAATCCAGATTTCTGGCTTCTCTGGAAAAATCGAACGATCTGGCAGTACTGGGCCTGAATTCCTGCTTAGCAACAATTGGCTTGAGCTGATCCCTTTGTGGGGCAGTACCCCTTGTTTTTAATCATTCTCTGTTGGCATTTAAGTTTGCAACCTCTGCTTCATTCGAGCCTCAGTTTCTTATTCTACAAAAACAGAGCAGTATCACTGTACTAAAGGGTTCTTGTGCAAAGATAATATCGATAAAGCACTTAATAGGATTCCACACACAGTAGTCCCTCAAGAAATGCTGGGTCTTCCAGGTTGTGTATAGGGGTCTTCAAAATTAGGAAATAGGATGAAGTTTTTATTTTATTTTTATTTTTTGTTGTTAGCTTACATTTTCCAATACTATGCTCCGTTTGTTTTTCTTCAGCCTCCAGATCTGCTATCTTCTCTTCTCAGGTGATGTACCTCTAAAGGTTAAGCAATAGATCCATGGTTAATCTGGGGAGGGGGGGGGGGGAAGTACAACAAATACACTCCTTTTCCAGACATTTTAGGCACTTTGTAATGTTTCATATGAACAATTAGACACGTTGGAGCACTTTGCCTGAAGACATATCGAGCACATTATCTGAAAGTGCAACCAGTGTTTAGTTGATCCTTTAGTTGGCACCCCACCACAGATTCACACCCGGGTCACTGCCCTCCTTCACACTCTCCCCACCCCATACATGCACTCCCCATCCTCTCAGCACACACCCCAAACCAGCTTCCACAGACATCCGCTCAAACCCACTTACCCCCATACCTACTCCCTGTACCTGTGTTCCTTTAACCCTCCCAAGAGCACTTAGAAAATGTTTACTCCATCTTGGCCGAGTGGCTCAGTTCTTTGGAGTGTCATTCCACACACCAAAGTTGGTGGTTTGATTCCTGGTCAGGGCAAATGCCCAAGTTTTGGGTTTGATCCCTGATTGGGGTGTTTATGGGAGGCAACTGATTCATGTTTCTCTCTCACATCAATATTGCTCTCTCATTCCTCTCTCTCTAAAATAAAAAAAATAAAAAAAACATAAAGAAACCCCATCCAGCCCTGGACAGTGTGTTCAGTGGTTAGTGTGTAGCAGGCACAATGAAAGGCCATAGATTTGATTTCTGGCCAAGGGCAGTACCTGGGTTGCAGGTCAATCCCCAGACTGGTTGGGGCAGCCATCAAGGCCTCTCACATTGATTATTTCACCATCTCTCTCGGTCTCTTTCTTCCTCTCCCTCCCTTCCACTCTTTAAAAATCAATGGGAAAATATCCTCAGGTGAGGATTAACAAAACAACACAAAAACATATCCTCAGGGGAGGATTTTAAGAAAATGTTATCCCATTTCCTGACGTTGTGGTCGCCCTGTATGGAGAATTTACGTCTGTTCGGGGAGTGGGGGGGAGGGGGAGAGTATCTCTGGGGAAAATACAAATTCCAGGTCAAAAGTCATCGGCACTGCGGGATGTGGAGTCTCCCTAGGCTGACATCTCAATGAAAGGAACCTTAGGCCTTATTTCCATGCCAGCTGCAATTCTACTCTCTTTAGTGGGACTTAAGTCATCTGGTCTCTATTGGTGACCACAGGTTAAGCTTGATAACACTGTTTACAGGATCCTGAAAATTGGAAAGCCCCGAACCCCAGCCATCGCACTCCAGTTTTGCAGAAAAAAATTTTTTTAACATTTTTTTTTAAGTAGGGCAGAAGGAAGTTTATGTGCAACAAGGAGAGATGAGCTGTAAACACCCCAACAGTGGCTGCTTCTGCTTCTCCGTAACGCTGTTTGGACATTTCCCTGCGATATTTAGACTAAATATCTGGCTGAAGGGACCTGAGTACCCCCCATCGTGGCAGTTACCTGCCAATATGGGAAATAGATTTCCTGGCCTCTCTAGGAATGTCCAACTCTAACTCCGCTGGGATATTCCCTCCCTGAGACTAAAGTTTTTAGATTTGTTTCTGTATGCCAGGCTTGCTCTATACCTCTTGTACTCTTCTCCCTTAATTACTGCTAAAACCTTTATGGAGTCAATGGTTTGGTTCAGAAGAATCCAGTGCCATCAACGGTGTGAGAAGGACCCACTTAACACTGCCCAGGAGGCAGGGATTCAGGGTCAGGGCAAGGTCTTACGGTGGCCACAGCCCTAGGCTGGGAGCCTGATCTCTGAAGTGGGCTACAGGCAGACTGTGAACTAGCCCCTGCCCAGGCTTGACCACCTTCTCTTCTCATGAGACATTCTCCCTGTCCCATCTCTCTTTTCAGAGGACTTCCTAAAGTGACCTGGAAAGATATTTCATAG